GCCGAGCGGCAGTGATGGTGTCACACAGCTGGGGTCATCCACATGCTCCGTCACTGCGGCCTCATCACGTTCAACCAAACTGGCATTTTCCTACCACGAGTTAAGGTCTAAATCAAATGGCATTTCTTGTTTTCTTTCTGCAAACCTTTCTAGGCACAATTCCAATTGCATCCATATTCAGCCTTCCCTTTATCCGGTTAAGAGTTGTTCTCAGCTTTTTTTTTCTTTCCAGCCTTACATAATTTCGTTTCCAAGTGTCCCACCACGCACATAACTGTAGCAGCGAAGCACCGCAAAAAAATCCTGAGAGCTCGCCGAAAGTAGGCTGGCTGGTCTGATACAATTATTCGGCATGGCATCTCCCATGTGCACCTCAGGGCTGAATTTCTATATGACTAAGCACGTTGGCAGTGGTGATCGATTGCATCTGTAGAGTCCTGCTCCATATTTGTCTTTCCTTCCTTAGTTTAAAAATAAAAAAGTGGGTTCATACACGAAGTGCTGACAAGAGTTCACTGTTGGGATGGCAGGAGGGGTACGAGGCTCTCAGCACAGCCGAGCGCTGGAAAGATATTTGTCATTGCAAATTTTGCTTGTCATCTGCGCAGATGACACGCAGCTCTCCCCTCTGACAGATTGATAGTCATTCCGAGATGCATCCACCCACAAAAACCACAGACATGCTCCTTTACTCAAATCTTTACTTTAACCACTACTTTGTGATGCAAAACTGGTGGAGTTTTTGGTACTTTTTGATAAAAATGAAATCTTTATAGGGGTTTTCCAGCATCCTTGCTAGTTACTAAAAACAAACCAACATTAGCCCACTGGATGGGACAATTCAGTTTACTTGTGGGTGGCTTTGACATTCATCTCATTAACATGTTTAGTCTGAAAGAAGGGTGGAAAGGTAGTAAATAAAAAAATTGGACAGAGAAGTACTGCGTCTCTCTAGAAATTATTCCTTATGTCTCAGCGAAAATGCCAGTTTCACGTCGGTGGAGTATTTGTACTGATTTTACTCCAAATACCAACATCTCGTCCTGACCACATTCAAGGATTAGCGACAGGGGTCTGTTTGTACAAGTGAGTGCCCCATGTTAAACTCACGGGTTACACTGCTTAGGGCCAGGACATTCATGGGTCAGGACTGAAACTCTGTTGTAGCCTGTGACAACCTGGTCATGTTGGCACAAAGCCAGGCAGTCTCCAATTAAAGAGCCACCCAAACCAGTCACTGGGAGGCTTGTGGTCCCGTTGTGCCCCCTGTTGCAGCAGCTACTTGATGTGGTACTTATTTTGGGTGTTTTGGCACGGGTAAACTTCATGGGCGTCCCTTTAACACCTCGCTTCAGGTGATGGCAAAACTGCCTGGAAAACCGGCAAGGGGGGGCTGTGGGAAGACAAAGAACACACACAGCAATGTCTGCAGATGCTTGTGTTGGAAACGTAAAAGGGAAAGTACTCCAAATAAGTTTCTCTTGTTCAGAAATACAATGGGCAATTTAAAAAACCCTATTAAGTATGTGTGTAGGAGCATTCCCCATTCCGGGAGACAGGTTGAATTGTTACATGGAGCTATATTATGACTTTCCCGACACGGTATCAATCAAGACCCTATTATGTAACGAGGTATCCATCACACGCGCCCCATCGCGAGTCCCCGCCGCGAGCGCCAAGACTGCAATCGCGGCTCCTTTGTCCTGCCCTCTGCCAATTTGCTGCAAAATTGAGGACGAGGCTTGAATTCGCCATTGTGGCGGTCTCGGGGCCGCGGCTGTGCTTTCGGAGCAGGTATTTGCATTGCCTTGATTAGCACGTCACCTGCTTCATTAGCGAAGAGAATTCTCATCCACAGACTCAGCCATTCATGCAAATTGAAGAATAACACGGAGATCCATCCCCCTAGGACTTTCCATTATTAGCAAAATTGGTAGATTCTTTTTGTTCCTTCCTCTTCAGAAGGTCACTTTCATTTTCACCTCCGAATGAAAGTTCTCATTTAAAAGACAAAATAATCGGTTTTCCCAAACTTTAACATACAGCAGGTCCTGCCTAAAGGAATCGGATACTAAATGAAATCTCAGGTGTGTGCAAGGCCGGTGGAAACTCTCCAGTTTCAATCTAATCCTTGCGCCAGCTGCCATCCGTCAGTGTCACCCAAGCATTCATTTACATTTTTAGAGCCAAAAAGCTCCCCCTGTGTAGGACCTAAACTTCCTGGGCTCGGCTGAGCGGTTCCTTCTCCTCACATCCTCAGCATCATCACCCCTCTGATAGTCCATGGGACACCTCCCTTCCCTCATCCCTGTTTTCCAGGCTGCGCAATCCCAATCTCACAAGTGCCCTTTTCCCAAATCCAGACATTCTTCTTGCTGCCCCCTCTGCCATGCCCACACCATGTTTTATGAAGGTGGGATCAAACCAAGAGGCCCTCCAGAAGGGTTTAGGGGCTCTGGCCGAGAGACCTCCTTCCATAGCAGCACCCACCCTCGGTGGGGGCCACCCAGGGCCTCTTCTGGAGGGGCTCTGCTCAGCTGCCCTTGCTCTGCACCCATCGCTGGGTCCATGGCACTGGGGCAGGTAGGAGCCAGTCCCTCCTGGCCACCACCACACGTGGGCTCTGCATCAGAGGAAAAGCTCTCCTTCACCCCGTCCACAGGCTGCAAACGTTAGTTTTGTTCCTTGAAGTTTGCTTTTGATAGTCATAGCTATTCCACCCAATTAACAGCGCACACTAATCTTGCTGCCTCTAAGGCACTGCCTGCGTGGGATGACATTTTTTCATTTCTGGTGTCCTTGAGAAATACTGCTGCAAAACCTCTGCAGAGGTGGACAGTGAGAGCCACGTACCTCATCTTACAGCATCTCTGGAGGTGATGCTCAGCCTCCCAAGTACTGGCTCAAAGTCAGTAAAGGCATTGTTACAGATACTGATCTCAGATTTTGGAGTGTGTTTTTTTCCTCTAGAGTCTACAAATAGTTACTAAAACTTCTTGTGTTTTCAAGAGATATTCAGCTTTTGTGGGAAAAAAATACCTGAGATGTGGTATTTAAACAGATCCCTCACACGGCTTTTCCTTGAGATCAAGGACAACGTACTATGAGGTGTCAGACCTCTCTCCTGAATGGGAAAGCCCTTACACAGGCATTAACCCCAGAAGCTGCAGGGTCAAAGCCACTGCCAACCAGGAGGAGGTTTTCTCCATTTCTCTCCTCCACGGCAGGCAGAGGAGCTGGGCACATCCAGAATGATCCAAGCCAGAAAGAAAAATTAAAAAAAAGAAAAAAAGTCTTGAAAACCAAATAGTGCAAAAAGAAAAAAGTGAAAAATGTGTGATGGTTACACCTGAAATGTCACTGCAATCATGAATCTGCAGGAAAAAATGACCTGGTGGTGGATGGAGGGGAGGAAGACCACAGTTGGCTTCCTCTGACCAGGAGCTGATCCAGCTTCTGCCTGGGTGCGGGAAGAAGCGTGGCCACGCAAACCCACGGCCCCCCACGCCAACACAACTCATGTCTGCAGCCGAGGCGGGGGCTGTGCTTCGCCTCACTTGCTGTGCTGCAGCTGTACCGGAGAGAGGAAAAAAACCCAACCACCTATCACTTTTTGCATCTCCCCACATCTCCTGGGAAGGGACAACCACACAGAAAACACCAGATTTGACACAGCTGATTTTCACACGGATCACTGTGCAGAGCAGGGTTCGTGCTTTTGCTGCAGTGCCTGGTTTCTTTGCCTTTTTAAGGTAAAGATGAGGCGATGTTGTGCATCTGCACGGGTGCCCTCACAGGCTGTGCAGCAGCCTCCTCCCTCTCACCTGACCGGCGTTGGCTCCGGGAAGCCTGACAAGCCCCTGTGTCTGCTTATCCCTGGATGGCAGGGAGGGAAGGAGTGAGTCAGATATGCGTCTCAGGGAAAACGAAATCCCGCTCCTTCATTGCACAACCCCGACGGCGGTTGCATCCGTCACACTCCCTCTGCACACACCTTGCGAGGAGCCAGTGGCAGCGGAAGGGAGGAAGACAGATTTACCAGGATACGTATGCAAACGAAGCGTGATTAAGAAGTCGCAATCTCACCAATAAATCTCTGCTTGGAGACTGCTGGTCAGGCTGCCCTCCCTCCCTCTTGGATGCCCTCCATTTTGGGATGACCCTGGGTTGGGAGATGCACCCTTTTCAGACAGTTGTGTGCACTTCCCAGATTAAAGATGATTAATTGCACCAGGTAGTTCCTGCTACATCTTAATCAAATGCACATAATCAGCACCGCTCCTGCACACACAATGCTTGGAGCCAGAGGAGGTTTATTTTAACTCTCGCACGCTCCAGCCTGAGGATGACAAACCTAAAATACCAGTACGAGTCTGAAGTACCCCAAACTGGAGCAATGGCGGGTGAGGTTCCTCGGGCAACGGTGCCTCTTGCTGCTGAGGGAGGGAGGATTCGCTCTGGAGGTAAAGACTGACCCAGCCCCAGCCCCTCCTGCTCTCTGAGCTGGGAAAAGCACCAAACTTACCTGCCAGGCCCCCGCCGCTCACCTTTCCAGGGCGCGGGGGCAAGCGCAACAGCAAACATAACCGCACACCACCTTGGAGCAGGGGGGACAAACCACCAGCAGCCTCTGACTGTATTTTGCATCGTTTATTTAAATACCTATATTTATGCATTTACAAATTTTCATAGCTCTGTTCGTAGCTTTTTTTTTCTTTTTTTTTTTGTAGACAGTATTGCAGAGAAGTTAGCTTCTGTAAAATGAGGTCCATGTATAAAACTATGCAACAGATTGGAGAAAAAAAACCAAACCAACCAACCAAGTTTCCTTTCATACTCTCTAGAATCAGAAACCAAAGAAAGTGACTGAATGGAGGGGGAGAGGAAGGGGTGGAACAGACCAATCTCAAACCAGTGGCTCTTACAAGCATTACACCCGTCAGTGCTCAGCTACAGTCCTACTGGGACAGGTCAGGTTCGGTCGGTGCAACGCCTGTTCACTAAAGCTTTAGCAGGCACGTAGGTCTCTAATGAAAAAATAAAAGGAAAGGATCCCGCACACTGAGAACGCCAAGCCTGGGCAGCCCCGTGAGAGGTTTTCGGTGTCGTGGCATGAAACGCCCATAGGAGACTGCACCGACTCACCAGCAGCGCATCCTCATCCCAAACTTCATTTTGCATAAAAAGTTCCCTTTAAGAAATCTTAGCATTTAAAAAACCTGGTATCTGAGCTCTTCTAGCCTCAGTACTTTGAAGAAGTCACTTGAAAAATACCTCCTGCTTTCCTCATTTGGAAGCTTCAAAGTCATGTTTTGCTTTAATTGATACCAATTTAACAACTCACGGATTCCCAGCGATATCTCTGGGAGGAAGAGGCAACAGATATGGCATTGCAAGATATTTACACACATGGTACAAAAATGTCCAAGGGTATGAAAAATCACCAGTAACACAATTTTGCAGCAGCCTCATTTACACCTGTAATTTTATACCATTTATTACATTGTACTAACACACCAGATTCAAAGATGTGCACTCCCCTTAGGACGTTCAGGAGTTACAAATATATCGTGATTGCATAATTCATATTGCACAATTGTATAAAAACATAAATACTAGCTATTCTATCTTTTTTTAAATACAAAATACATGTCACATAGTCAAATACTCTTTTCAAGTGCAATTCAGGGTGCTCTCTTTAGTCCTTCCAAGAAAAAAGGCAATTTTGATAGTTTTGGCACAAAGCTTAACCTCTGTCCTGTGCCAACAGTTCTAATCACAATACGTATGCCCGAAACTTTATATAGTAGCAGTCATATACATATAGTATAAAACCAGGTTATTTACAACCAGAACCAAACGTACACAGCAGCAGCCTCGGTGGTGGGATCTGAGCTCAGGGTTAGCATCGCCCGGCCCATCGCGAGCAGGGTACGTGACCCTTCCTGCCTTACGCCGGTTGCTGCGGGTTCACATTCATGGGTGGAGGGTGTCCTAAGAGACCGATGCGCTGTTTCTGCTTCCTCTGCTCCGTCATCTGGAAAATTTAAAAAAAATAGAAAAGTTTGCTCATTAGGCCTCGGCGCTTCCTGTGCGTCAGCCCACGAAGGACCTGGCGCTGCCTTTTGTGGTTAGCGTTTGCTCTCAAACCCACTCGCTACAACTAATGCCCCTCTGGCCACGCTTTGGGAGCCAACAGCTGTGAGAGGTGACCCCAGCCTCCTCCCCTGTGCTCAGCAGGGACCTCCATGAACTCGCCTGTGTGGCTGGCTACCGTTTTGCAAGGAAGGAGCCCGGAAAAGCCAGGCAGCCAGCGCGAATCGGCGCAGGGAGCGGCAAGCAGAAACTTCCCCCGTTAGAGGTTCTCTGTAACCGGTCCAATGTACGAAGCAGACGAGACGCAGAGGGAGGAAAACAGGGGCGAGCCCTCAAGTCAGGCTGGGAATACCCTCGTCTTTGCTGGAATAGACTCCAGCGCTCTCGCTCTCATCGGGAGCCAACCCAATGACCCTTTCCATGTGCCAAAAGCCAGGGACTGGAGGTTAACCACCTCCCTGCCAGGCAGTCAAATCTGCGGCAGTGCTTCCCATCAGATAAAATAACATTTCTCCCGATTAGCGCAATCATGACCTGAAAATAGATGATAATTTTTTATTACTGATACTGAAAAATGGCCACAATCCCATTCTCCACTGTTTTTTTTTTCCCCCCAAATCCAGGGAGGTTTCTCACAACGCCGACACGCCGTGTCAGGACCAGCTCCAGCAGCAAACAGCTGGATTGCTGCACACACTCCCTCCTGCTCCCTCCGTGACCACACCTCGGCATCAGAGGAGCCGACGCGTGGGACGGCTCCGCACGAGGAGGGTGCCAGGACAGAGCCTCACCCTTGGGCCACCAAGCCGAGGGGAGCCCACCACTGCTCCTTGGGCACCCGGGCTGCACCGAGAGCCCCGCACCCTCACATCACCGTGCAAACGCACGCCCACACCATCGCACGTGATCTGTAGCGTGAGCTGCAATCGTGTCTTGCTTCTGCTGCTCCTTCCCTCGGGCTGAGCACACCCAGCTGTGGTAACGGGCATGGGAGAGTATTTTCCTTCATGAGGATTAGCTAAGTTCCCTGCAATGCTTTTCCCCTAGCATCTACATCCACAATCTATTTTTTTTTTCAATTTTCAGGTATTTTATGACAAATGTCAGCCAATTGCTTGTGGAAGCAACGGCAGGAGAAGGGAGATTGCGTGCTCACACATTTGGTTCATCTGTAACACATGCTTGAACAGACTTGTTTAAAACCTCCAGTTCTGGCGATGGTGAAGAGTCTTTCCACCGCCAGCGCAGGGTACCCCACTCCTCAGGTCTGGAGTTCATTGTGGAGAAAGGAATTGGGCAAAATAGGCAGTTCTGGGCCACCTCCAAGAGGCTCCTCCATGTCCCGCAGCCGTACAGCACCATGCACAGCCCTGCTTTCACTTGGGCCAGCTGTGTGTAATCACACCCAGTCAGCCACCGGGGAAAGGCCTGAAATACAGTAATTCCTCCGGAAACCATAATTAAACTCAACTGCAGCTTGCTCATCGCCTGCCCCAAGGGCGGCAGAATGGTTACTTTACCTTTCCAGGAAGATGACCGCAGCCCCACGAGGATGGGTCACACCTCCCAGTCCCCTGTCCCACACTGTTGGAAGTCTCTTTTCTCAAAAGGCAAGTGGGAGCAGGAGGAACGGGGTCTTCCCATCGCTCTCCATCTCAGACACACATACAAGCTACCCC